ACAACAGTACGAGCGAGTGGCCCAGCACAACGGATGGACGGACGAACACCGCTTTCAGGGTCTACTTCGCTCTCGAAGGAAAGGTCAAGCACTGGTTCGAGAATCGCGAGACTTCGCTGAACTCATGGACCACCTGCAAGGATGCGCTGAGGAGGACTTTCACCAACCAATATCGACGGGAGAAGGCCGAGGACCTTCTTCGAATGACGACCCAGGGCGCAAATGAGGCAATCACCAGTTTTGTCGAGGATGTCCTGCACCTTGTCGCTCGCGCCGACCCTCAAGCCACCGACGAAAAGAAGCTGCGGATCCTGATGCGAGGTGTTAAGGCTGACAACTTCGGAGACCTCGTCCGCAACCCCCCGACCACCGTCGAAGCCTTCGTCACGGAGTCAATCAACATCGAGCGCGCCCTCCAAGCGCACTACCAGCGACATCCAGGCGTCGCTGCACTCACGATGCTTAACAGCAAAAACACGCCGGGTACGCCGGACGTCCGGGAAATTACCCGGGAGGTCGTACGGGACGTACTGTGAAGGTTGCTGCCAACCGTCAGTCGCCCGCCAATCCTTTCCACTGCCGAGGCTGTCCGAAACTAAGCGCGTCGGGCGCTCCAACCAGAGGTTCCAGTCACCACGGTGGCACCGGAGGAACCGACGATGAGCTACGCCGCCATGGCCCGACGACAGCCGCAAGTTCCCCGCCAAGCCACGGCGCCACCTCGAAGAGACGCCCCAACGCCGCAGTACCCCCGACGACAGGAAGATCAGGCGAACGTTCACCCAGAGCAACCTGCGCCGAGGAAGACAAACCTCTGGAGGACGGCCGACCGACGCCCGCTGTGCTACCACAGCGGCGAAGCTGACCATGTGTACCGCCGATGCCCATACCAACGACTCGGGCTGCGCGGGTTTCACCCAAACGACCCGCGCCCCCCTTATGGTGAACACCCTCGGGAGATCGACGAGTACCTGCGACGACCTCAGTCCCTAGAGCCTGCGTCCCGCCGAGAGTTCCGGTCGCCTTCGCAACGACGTCCAGCTTCGCCGACGCACCGACCCCGACGTGAAAGCCTGTCGCCCCTCACTCCACGCCGGGGAAACTAGGCGCAGCAACCCCTGGAGGTGGAGTTGCCGAAGACGACCGACGCCAAGATCCTCCACGAACGTCAGAGGGCCCTTACTCGGACGCTACCAGAGACCCAAACGACGCTCCTGCAACAGTATCCAACAACCTAAACGTCGTCATCGACGGCCACGACGCATCAGCACTCGTGGACACCGGAGCAGACTACTCAGTCTTGAGTGGGAGGCTCTCCCGCCGCCTTCGAAAAGTCATGACGCCGTAGGATGGACCTCGAATACGAACCGCTGGAGGGCACCTCATCACACAAGTCGAGAGATGCACTGCTCGCGTCGAGATCCACGGTGACGCCTGCCCTGTGAAGTTCGTCGTTCTGCAAGACTGTTCGAGGGGACGTTATCCTCGGAATAGACTTTCTTGGCGAGTATGGCGCCGTCATCGACCTCGGGGCAAACCAGCTGACACTGCGAAAGCCTGTTTTGACGCCGGTGGAAACCTACAAGCCGTCAACCACGATCCGAGCTATCGCCGACCATGTGAACTTACCGCCGTGGTCGAGTGTGTTCGTCACCGTTCTAACCAACGCAGCCATGCCCGGTGAAGCTCTCCTCGAAGGCAGCGTCCAACTGCTCTTTAAGAAGTAATTGGCTTCGCTAGAGGCGTAACGGATCTCCAAGAAGGACGTACGACCGTTCTCGTGACAAACTTTCTAGAGGAGCCGCAGCACTTAACGAAGGGTACCTCCATGGGCCACGTCGAAGAGCTTCAGGCGCCAGCCGGGTTCACCACAATCTCTGAGTAAACCTCGTCGTCACAGCAAAAATGCACGTCGCCGCCGCAGCTCGAAATCGACCCCGATCTCCCAGATGCTAAGCGCAGGCAACTGGTTGAACTCCTCGCCGAATACAGGGACTGTTTTGCCACGTCGTCGAAAGTTCGCCAAACAACGATAGCAAAACATTGCACTATTACCGACGACGACGCGCTCCTTGTCCACCAGTCGCCGTATCGAGTCTCCTTAAAGGAAAGGAAGGTGATTCAAGATCAAGTCCAGGAAATGCTCAACGACGACATCATTCACCCCTCAAGAAGTCCATGGGCGTCCCCAATCGTCCTTATAAAGAAGAAGGACGGAACCCTGAGATTCTGCGTGGCCTATTGTCGACTGAACGCTGTGACGACGAGGGAAGTTTATCCGCTCCCCCGCGTCGACGATACATTAGACCGACTGCGCCACTCCCGATATTTTTCGTCCATGGACCTGGAGAGTGTTTACTGACAGATTGATGCCGACGAACGCGACCGGGAGAAAACTGCCTTCGTCACTCCCGACGGACTGTACGAATTCAAAGTGATGCCGTTCCGACTTTGTACAGCACCAGCCATCTTCCAGCGTGTCATGGACGCCATGATTGCAGGTCTGAAATGGCAGAGCTGCCTCGTCTACATTGACGATGTCGTGGTATTTTCACGAGATTTCGACTAGCACCTGTAACGACTTCGAGCCGTGCTTCAAGCCATCAAGACCGCCGGCCTGTCACTCAAGCCAACAAAGTGTCGATTCGCCTATGGTGAACTTCAAGGCCGACGACCAGACTCGAGATTTCGCAAGGCAGAAGACCCTCCTCTCCACGCCTTCGGGCGAGGAAAGCGAAGGATGGAAAGAAGGGACCAAGAGGGGCGGGCGTGGGTGGAAAGGGCCGGAGGGAGAGGAGGAAGCGGGCGAAAAGTGGAAAGCGCGAAGTGGTCGTCGGTCTTTAAGTTGCTTGGCCACGTCGGGAACAACAAAGGTGTTCTCCCTAACCCCGAGAAGACCCGCGCCGTAACTGCATTTACGCCGCTGTCTGAGAAGAAGGCCTTGAGAAGATTCCTCGGACTCTGTGCCTACTACAGACGATTTGTTCGGGACTTCGCCAAGCTGTCCGCATCGCTGACGTACCTCACGATGGACGCCGTAAAGGTCGAATGGGCAGAAGAACACCAGCGGTCATTGCATGAGCTGAAATCAAGACTCCAGCCACCCTCGATTCTTGGCCATTTCGACCAGTTCCCTGATACAGAGATCCACACGGACGCCAGTAACACCGGACTTGGCGCGGCGCTAGTTCAAAGGCAAGATAGGGCAGAGCGAGTCATCGCATACGCGAGTCGAACGCTGTCCTAGGCGGCGACGAACTACTCAACAACTGAAAAGGAGAGTTTCGCTGTCGTAAGGGCAATAACAAAGTTTTACCCTTATTTGTACGGAAGTCCTTTTCGCGTGGTCACGGACCACCACTCGCTCTGCTGGCTCGCGAATCTGAAAGACCCCTCCGGACGCCTCGTCCGCTGGAGCCTACGACTACAAGAGTTCGACATGACCGTTGTGTACAAGTCCGGCCGGAAGCACAATGACGCCAACTGCCTGTCAATAACTCCTGTCGAGGCCGGTCCTGCCTGCACCGAAGACGACGACGATGAGTGTTTCCTCGGCGTTTTTGACGTCAGCGACATGGCAGCACTTCAATGAGACGACCCTGACATGTGAGCGCTCATCGAGCACTTAGAGAGACAAGGGAGTAGGGTTCCCGTCCTTTCTTAAGAATCCTGCATACCTTCTCCATGCGGCAAGGGGTGCTGCACAAGGAGAACTTCGTCAACAACAACACAGCATGGCTGTTGGTTATTCCTGCCAGTCTTCGACACAAAATCTTCCAAGGACGCCATGGCGACCCAACGGCTGTACGCCTTGGCTACAGCAGGACGCTCGCCAGGATTCGAGAAAAGTACTACTGGCCGAGGCTACCAAAGAGTGTTCACCTCTACATTCGATCATGCCACGAGTGTCAGTGACGTAAAAAACCGCCGACGAAGCCGTCAAACCGCTGGAGAATCGTCGCCACGGGCTTTGATCATGGTACGGCTGTAGAAGTCGCCAAGTTTTTCATCGAGTCCATTTTCCTCCGCACGGTGGCCCCAGAGTCCTCATTACAGATCATGGATCATCATTCATGGCCCAGCTGACGCAAGAGATCCTTCGTCTCAGTGGCACCGGTCACCATCGAACAACTGCGTACCATCCGCAGACAAAAAAACTAACAGAACGGCTAAACAAAACTATCGCCGTCATGATCTTCATGTATGTCGACGTAGAGAACAAGACTTGGGACGAGGTGTTACCCTACGTTACGTTTGCTTACAACACGGCGGTGCAAAAGACGACAGGAGTAACCCCGTTTCAGCTCGTGCAGGGCAGAAAAGAAACGACCATGATCGACGCAGTGCTACCCCACGAACCGGCTGACGATGGGATCCCCGACGCCCAGGTGGTTGTTCAACGAGCAGAAGAAGTTCGCCAGCTCGCCCAATTCCGAATTCAAGACCATCAACGTGTCGAAGCTCGTGCAGGGCAGAAAAGAAACGACCATGCTCGACGCAGTGCTACCCCACGAACCGGCTGACGATGGGATCCCCGACGCCCAGGTGGTTGTTCAACGAGCAGAAGAAGTTCGCCAGCTCGCCCAATTCCGAATTCAAGACCATCAACGTGTCGAAGCTACCCGGTACAACCTTCGCCGGATCGACGTTCGCTTTAAGGCCGGAGACCATGTGTGGGTTTGGACCCCGATACGACGACGCGGTCTAAGCGAGAAACTCCTGAAGCGCTACTTCGGACCCTACAAAGTGCTTCCTCTACTTGGGAATCTGAACTACGAGGTGACGCCCCATGGAACAGGGACTCCGTTACGCCGCTCTCCACGACCGGATGTCGTCCACGTCGTGCGCCTCAAGCATTACTACTCGCGATAAGACTGTGAACTGTGATTTTGTGCAACGCTTGATAGGATTGTGTTCTGCCAGCTTCCGCATTTTCCCATTCTTTTGTTTCTCTTGGTCTTGTTATGTCTGCGGTGCAAGGAGTGGCCAGACGAAGGATGGACTGCGAAACAGCTTTATTTCCGCAGAGGCCGGCAGCGATCTGGCTGCGCGTATGACGGTGCTCTTCTTATAGAGCGCCCGGTGACGTCAGTACTACGCGTACTGCTGATAGCAACGGCAGCGGCCTCTAGCACTTCCTCCACCGCAATTTGGAACGTCATGAGGCTTCATAGCGATCGGGGGGTCTTCTCTGGCGTTGTGGGTATCGCCGAGGCGCAGCGTTAGTGGGGGTGACGGGCACCGTTTGTCTTGCGGAGACAGTAGACGGAGGTGGTACGTCGGCTTCAGACGCAGGATAGATGGTGTCGGTATCGTCCTCCCCCACAAGGGACGGCGCTGTCACTGCAGTAGACGCTGAGCGCAGGTGGTCCTTGTGTCGCCTCCAAGTACGGAGTCCATCCGGTGTCCGCACCTTGACCACGTAGGACACTGGTCCCGTCCGCTGCAGTACTGTTGCGTGGAACCATGTGGGGCCGCTCCTGAAATTACGCACGAACACTTCATCGTTCACTTCGAACACACTGTTAGCACCCCTGCGCCGTGAAGTCTGTTCAAACTGACGTGCTCGGATAGTACGATCCAGAGCCGGCTTCAGTGCATCCAACCGTGTTCGTGGCCGACGACCCAAAAAAAGAAAAGATGGGGCTTCTTGAGTCGTCGCATGCGGAGTGTTGCGATATGTCATTAAGAACTTTGACAAGGTTTCCTCCATACTTTCAGTTGCAGGGCCTTTTCGTAGTGCGTTCTTTAGGGTTTGCACAAATCTCTCTGCGAGTCCATTGCTGCTGGGGTGATATGCAGAAGTGAGAACCTGTCGAACTGCCTGTTCTTTAAGGAACTCTTTAAACTCGGACGATGTAAACTGCGCACCGTTATCACTAACCAGAGCTTCTGGTGCCCCATACCGAGCGAATAAATCGCGCAGTTTTGTTATCGTCGCTTCTGCGGTGGTAGACGTCATGACAAAAACCTCCGGCCATTTAGAATGCGCGTCTACAATGACTAGTAGCATACGACCGCGAAGAGGGCCCGCAAAATCTACATGTACCCGTGACCACGGTTGTGTCGGCCATGACCAAGGGTGCAATGGTGCCTTTTCTGGCATGTGGCGCTGCTGTTGGCATGCCGTGCAGTGTCTCACTTGGTTCTCCAAGTCCGTTTCCAAGGAGGGCCACCATACGTAGCTTCGGGCGAGTGCTTTGCTCCGCACTATTCCTGGGTGTCCCTGGTGTAGCTCCTCCAGGACCAGCTGTTGAAGTTTCGGGGGCACGACGACTCTCATTCCATGCATCAGGCACCGCTCGTGGACTGTGAGTTCCCTGCGTCTGTCAGAATAGGGCTTCAACACTTTATCATCAAGATGTGATGGCCATCCCTTCTTGGTGAAGTCTAGGACCAAGCTGAGGACGGGATCACGCTCTGTATGACGCGCGATGTCCCTACTGGTGACTGGTAGAGATGCCAATCGCAGCGTATAAAACGTCTCGTCGTGACTGTCGTCTACTTCTGTGGACTGCAACGGAAGTCGTGAAAAACAGTCCGCGTCCGCGTTCTCTGCGGACGTCCTGTAGGCAAGTTTATACTGGTAGGCTGACAGAGTTACCGCCCACCTCTGCAGTCTTGCGGCGGCTATTGCCGGGATCCCACTCTTTGGCCCAAGGATCGCTTGCAAAGGTTTATGATCAGTAATCAACGTAAACTCCCGACCATAAATGTAGAAGTGGAATTTCTTGACGCCAAAGATTAGGGCGAGCGCCTCCTTTTCAATCTGGCTATAGTTTTCCTCAGCCTTTGATAATGTTCGGGAAGCGTAGGCAATTGGCCTTACCGTGCCATCTTTCATGACGTGCGACAGCACAGCGCCGAGACCATACGCAGACGCATCGCAGGATAGCTGCAGCGGGCGTGCCGAGTCGTAGTGTGCCAGCACCTCCGTCGAAGACAAGATTTCCTTGATGGCTTGGAAGGCATCTTGACATTTCCGATTCCAGCACCAGGGAGCATCCTTCTGTAGTAACCTGTAGAAAGGCTTTGCCAGCGTTGCTAGCCGTGGCGTGAATTTTCCATAGTAATTTATCAGTCCAAGCAGTGAACGCAACTGTGCGATGTTAGTAGGCGCTGGGGCATGCAGCAACGCTTGAACTTTTTCCTCGCTTGGCTTGACGCCGGTCTCGCTGATAATGTGCCCCAGATACTGCAGGCTTTCTTTGAAAAATTCACATTTTTCACGCTTGACGCGAACACCTTTCTGCTGAAGTGTACAAAACACGGCTTCAAGGTTCCTGAGGTGTTCTTCAGCGGTTGCTCCCGTGACGAGAATATCGTCAAGGTAGCATATGACACCCGGTAGTCCTTTAAGTATGTTGTCCATAATGCGCTGGAACAACGCGGGCGCAGACGCTACTCCGAAAGGGAGTCTGTTCACCGCAAAAAGCCCTTTGTGCGTGTTTAGTGTGAGAAGTTTTTTTGAGTCCTCCGACATCTCTACCTGCTGGTATGCCCTGCTAAGATCTAGCTTGGAAAAGTATTTGCCTCCGGCGAGCGCAGCTAGTATTTCCTCAAGTTTGGGCAGGGGGTACTGCTCCGTGTCTAGGATAGGGTTCAACGTTGTTTTGTAATCCCCGCACACACGTATGGTGCCGTCCTTTTTAACTACCGGTACAATAGGCGTAGCAAACTCACTGGTTGACACTTGCGTAATGACGCCCATTTGTTCAAGCTTCTGCAACTCTTCCTCTACGGCCGACCGGAGTGCGTAAGGCACGTTTCTCGCTTTGAGGAACTTCGGACGTTGCTCTTTCAAAAATAAAGTGGCTCGCTCACCTTCTATCTTGCCAAGGGTGCCGTCGAAGATGCGGCTGTACTTGGCTTGAAGTTCTTTTAGGCGTGCCTCGTACTTCTTGCTTGCATCAGACCGATGAGGGTCCGACAGCTTGTGTACGCCGCAGATGTTGTCCCAGTCCAGACGAAGACGTGTGAGCCACTCGCGGCCCAAAAGAGGCGGGCCATTGTGGTCAACTACGTAGAGGGGTAGAACGTCCTCTTGACCCTTGTATCTTACGGACGCTTTGACGAAACCGCAGGGTTGCACGACTTCCCCGGTGTAAGTCTTGAGGCGTAGCTCGGTGGGTTCAAGCTTCAAAGGAGGCTGAAATTTCTTGAACTGCTGCTTCGGTATTATGGACACCGTGGCTCCCGTGTCCAATTCCATGCTCAAGGAAGTTCCTTGAACTTCCACGTCGACGGTGATGGGTCGCCGGCTTTGCGGTGACAGCATCTTGACGTTGAATGTGTCGTCGCTTTGAAGAGTCCGGACCCACTTCTTTCCGCCAACAGTCTTCTTCTTGGCACTCCGACATGCACGCTGAACGTGACCCTTCTTGCCGCAATTCATGCACTTATCTGCAATGTGCGGACACGCCCGGGCGAAATGCTTATCAGAGCCACAGCGATAACACTCGAACGACTGTTTCCTTTTCGCGGAATCTTCGGTACTCATCTTGTGCAAGTCATCGCTCCTTTCTTTTGCGTGCGCCTCCTGAACATTTTTTTTAGCTTCTTCTAACGCGAGTGCGCGTTCAACGGCTTTTTGAAATGTCAACGTTTTATCCTCTGCAAACAAATACCGCTGTATGTCCGCACGGAACAAACCGCACACGAACCGATCTCTCAGCGACTCATCTAGGAAACCGCCAAATTCACAGGTTTGAGAGAGCTTCCTGAGCTCCGCTACATATTGTGCGATACTCTCGTGTTCCAACTGACTACGGCGATGGAATTTCGCTCGTTCTCCAATCACTGATACTCTCGGTGACAGCTGGTTTCGCAGCAATTGGGTTAGTTGCTCTAGCGTGTTTTCTGACGGTTTGGCAGGTGCCGTCAAAGACTTCAAGAGACTGTACGTTTTAGGCCCAATAACGCTTAAAAAAGCATGCACCTTGAGGTCGTCAGGTATTTTGTTGATCAGAAAAAAGGACGTCAACCTTTCTTCATAAGACTGCCAGTCACTCACAGTTTCATCGAAGGCTTCTACTTGGCCGATATGACTGGAGGATGCCATCTTGAGAAACTTGCTGTCGCCGAGTACCCAGCGGCTTGCGGTGATGTTTCGCTGTCTGTTTGGACGCAGCTTCAAGGCTTCTCACCTTCGTCTTGGCTTTGTTGCCCCCATCTTCGTCGCCAGTTGTTATGTCTGCGGTGCAAGGAGTGGCCAGACGAAGGATGGACTGCGAAACAGCTTTATTTCCGCAGAGGCCGGCAGCGATCTGGCTGCGCGTATGACGGTGCTCTTCTTATAGAGCGCCCGGTGACGTCAGTACTACGCGTACTGCTGATAGCAACGGCAGCGGCCTCTAGCAGGTCTGTTTCGTTGCCTTGCATCGAGACGATGCCTTTTAAAGGGGGCAGTAATGCCACGCACGTAGGGGGGCGAGCGCGTGGGTGGCCGAGAGGTTACCGCACTTGGCACTCGTGCGGTTGCCCAGGGTTCGATCCCTGGGAGCGCCCCGTCATTTATTTTCTGTCAATTTAGATTTTGTGATAATTTCGAGAACCGTGTTACTTGTTCTAGGTTAGAATGTTCTACGCGCCGTATTTTCAAGGCCGATTGTTCCAGAAGTCCACGCGTGTACAAAAGGGGCCCCGCGTGGCGTGCCGGAGTCAGTCTCGCGAGCCCCAGCGTTCGACTCTGCTCTTACGCCGATTTTGACGCCAACGCTCTGCTGTTATCTCCTGTTCTCTTTTTTTTATTTTTGGGCACAAGTTCGCCCCATTAAACGTTCAGTTTACTCAGTAATTCGCCGCCTCATCAGTTGTCATTCGTGACAATATCTAAAGTTTCGCTTAATCCATTTGAGTCGACGTTGGTAACAAAAGCTCCTTGAGCATTTATAAGGCCGTTGCGATCGTAGTATTCAAATTAGGTCTTGGTTTTTTTAATGCAGATTTTATTCCTGTTGAAATCATAAAACTTCGATTTAACCTTGAAGAGTAAAGCGTGCTAAGGCGACCATGGTGAAAAAAAGAAGTATCGGTGGCTGCGAAACATCAGCCGCGCGGTCGCTCAACGCAATTAGGAAAGCGATAAAAAAACAGCCCCCCCCCCCCCCCCCCCCCCAAAAAAAAAAAGAGAAAAAAAGTAGAAAGGACGAGGACTTTGAGACTTTTCAAGAAGACTTCGCTAGCTTCGAAAGCGTCATCCAACTATTTCAGATGTCTACACCTCTTAGTATTGGAGATTTAAAACGCAGCTCTTGATATATGTTGATTTTGCGATATACAGCGGTAAAATATTTTAGATTGAAATGTTTATTTATTGATATGTTGATACTTTGTTTATGATTGGCCAGAGAGGGCAAGTAGGGTGCTGTGGGAACCCCATAATGCAACGCTCACAGTGTTGTAGTTTGGCACGTCACAGACATCAATGCGGAGCGCAATTTCGTCTACTTCTCGCGCAGGGGGTAACGGTGACGTCAGAACGCTGAACTCTGATTGGAAGGATACCGGGTAGACCTCACTGCTAGCTGCCTTGAGGTCTACCCACTGTCATTACAATAAGAACCCAGCAGAGATTGTCGTTCCAACGTCACCGCAGCCCCATCACGCTCAAAAAGCAGACGAACTTGCGCTCCGCGTTTACTTTCTCCGCTAAATTTAGCTGGTGATTGAATTGGTGTATCGGTCTGTGAAGTTCCTTAACGAAACCCGCAGGGTTACGCCGATACCGAAAGCGACGGCGACGCCGACGCCGATTATTCCGGGAACGGGCGCCTAAGGGCTGGTTCCCACTCTTGCGAGCGACAACGACAGAGTCGCACAGAACCAGTTTTTAAGCCTATTTCGACCATGCCGTGCAGCGGCAATGGCGGCTATGTGCGTCCCAAAACCCCGTTTCCACCATAGCAATCCGTAAAAGGATTAACGTCACAAGCCGTTACAGTCGCTCTCGCACGGACTCGGGCAAGTGCGTGAACCAGCCTTAGGAGTTGCGCTCTAAAAGAAGCGGAGAACGTGTACGGAAGAGAGACAGGGCTGCGCTAGAGGCCAAGACGCCGCTTACGAACAAGTTCGCGTTTGCCCACCGCAGGTGTGGGCCTTACGCAAAAGCAGAAACCATATAGACATGAGGTGAAGCATCTACGCCAGCGCCGCGGTAGCTTCAGCGCAGGCTTGTACAACATACAAACTAAAAGTAGTGAAGTTAAGTTACTGAGTACCACGAAAAATCGTAACTGAGAAGAGTACTAAATACTCAAATTTGTAAAGTAATTGAGTGAAGTACAAAATACTCCAAAAAATTAACTTCTTACTTTCAAGATACTCTCAAGTTACACTTTTCTCTGCAATTCATTGTTAAAGGGAAGCTACGGAGCTTCTTGGAAAAAATTAGTTAGAAGTGAATTCTAGTGTATTTTTACCCCGTGCACCCAAATACCCAAACCATTTGCTGCGTAAGTATTGTTAAACGCGAGAAAGACGTGAAAGACAGTCGCTGTCCATGACGTCATCGACGGCTCTTTTGGCTGCCCAAGGCTAGGGAGGCGGGGCTTCAGTCCTATTTTGAAATTGCTCGTATGGCTCTCCGGCGCGTCGCATTGAAATACAATTTTGATATCTGTTAATCTAAAGGCCAAATGAACCCAATTCAAGCGTTTTTTTCTCAAATGTTGAAGTGCCCCATCTTCCCTTTAAGCACAACCAAAGTCTGAAAAAAATTCGCTTTTTTTTTTACGCTGCAGGGACGTAGGAAAGGATTTTGACTTTCGAGGAGTTTGTAGGAACTTTTCAGAATGGAAACCTTGAAAGGCTGCTACGCTCGCAACATTCGCGCTAACAACGTCGCTCATTGCTAAGTTTTTTCTTT